CAAATAGAGGGAGGACGAGAATACTAGAACTAGGGAAAAAAGCTAATTTTTTCTCAGATCTCTTGGGGGTAGAATTTATATCATAATAATTTATTGTCACTGGAAAAAGGACAACCCACTTTCTATACAGCTCCTTTTTTCACTATTACGCAACTCTGAATAATCTTTTGGCTCAAAATGAAGAATCCCTTGATAGTCACAACAACACAGCTATCAAAAAATAAAAGGTAGGAAGGGAGGGAGGGAGGGGAAAAAAATCTCAACAAAATATTAGAAGATGCTCAGGAGACTGAAGTTTTCAATATTGCTTGTATAATCTCCATTAGAATATGCTGCAAAAAGAGTCCACACAGTAATAAAAGCTGAGTCAAACCACAGCTATAATAATTTTATGAAAGATGAAAACCACAATCATTTCAAAGTATCTAGTATAGGAAGTCTAAATGAGCCATGACAAGTTTTTTAATATGAAAATAGATAAGCGTTTCTATATTTGTTCACTGTGCTGGTGCTTGCTTTTACCTCATTACAGTTCACATATTATGGTGTATGAAGCAGCCAGCATTTTAAAACTTGAGAGAGTGGGAGTAGTAACAAAAACAGCATATAAAGGATTTCCTTAATAGAGCATTTTACCCTGATTTTTAAAAACTGACACTATTAGAATTCAAATTATTTTTCATGGTTACCTTCTTCCTTTACTACAAAACAAAAATTATATATTTTATCTACTAATACTGCCTAATTTAAAGATGTATAAAACCCTTATTTTGTTCATTTAATATTAAAATAATTGTGTAACCTTACTGATGAGTCAAACAAGATGTACGTATAATGTAGCTTATCTAATATGACAGGCAGAAATAACTGTGGATATTAGGTATTTCTTGGAAATTATTTTATTATAACTTTATAAGCATATGATATTTCTGTGCCCTTTTTGGTTTCAAGTAATTGTATATAAAAGGCACAAAAGTTGTTTTATATGCAGAATCAATATGTCTATTAAGTATGTTCACATTTTACAGGTTTCTAGGAAAAAAGTACATAATTGTTACACTAGCTGGGTTTTCTAGCTTATATTACCTAGATGTGGATTTCTCAAATACTCTCTTGGTTGACTTAGAGTATTATTTGATTTTCTGAGAAAACTTATTGCTACTTCACAAATTATCTGGGCATTCAAAAAGAAAGACAGACAGAAAAATATGTGCTTCTATATGAAAAGAACAAAAAGGTCCTACCTGTTTCAACCTCATGAAGAAAGTCTCTGTGAAAGTCTTCCTGCTGAAATACCAAAATCGCTCATTTGCAGGGTACACACGGACTACCGTCTCCAGGAGAAAGCGGACAGGCTCCACCACCTCCGTGACCACCATGTCCACCGCCACAGTCATGTACACTCGTTTATCTGTAGCGGGAATTTTCCAGGTTTTATTCTGGCTTTGTTACTATTTGACTATTTAAGAAAACAAAGTTTCCTCACTTATGAAAGAATTAAGGTTCTTTACACTCATATTACCCTCTATATTTATTTTTAAATGTTCTATTAGCACTTTGATTAAATGGGTAACTAAGTATTTTAGGCACTAATTATCCTATCTTAATCAAATGTCCAAATCTGACAATTTTCTTTTTTCATTCCCAAAATCAGATCCTTGACATAAAAATAAATAAAATGTTATTCTAAAACTATCAGATTTTCCAGAGAACCTCTGGAAAATACAGACATTTGTCCTTTTATCTTATAAAAAAATAGTAGAAATTATTAGGTTTGTTTGATGAGTTGCATGGGACGAACTATCAAATCAGAAGAGAAGCACGGCCTTCTCTATGTTAAACTTGTATAGGTAATATGTTATTGATATAAATATTTCCATGTTGTATCCTTTAAGGGCAGTCCCTGGAGATTTGTCAGTACCTCACTGTTTGTAATATATATTAACCTTCAGGAAA